ACTCCGTACTTCGAAGTCATGCCCCGTTTGGGCCCCATGTAAAACGCTGTAAAACTTGACGGGGTGACTACGGCGCCTCCGTAATCGAATTACTTTTCTCCGTACAACTACGGAGAATGTACGGACTGAACCGTTAATAATTTTTCCGGCCGGTTCCGTACTTATGGAAGTACGGACTGTCCGTTTCAGCCATAAGACATCATTTTTCTGACGGAGTCTGAACGGAGAGTCCGTTATCAGCAAGTACGGAAACCACCGGAAAAATTATTAACGGAAATCTCCGTACTTTTTTTTACAGTGTTCTTTACGGTTTTCGATAGAGGGGACTTTGAGCTACCCAGCGGTGAAAATAAAGTGGATACTTTTTATTCCGAATTCCGTAGAGAGTGAAGCGCGTGGCTCGTGGGACTTACGCCCCTGGACCGGCCCCGGTGTGTGCGAGCTCGGATTCTTCTGGTCAACCACGAAGGAGAGGTCATAGGATATTACTTCAGCCTCGCGTCGCCCCCGCTGACCCAGGGTTGGCCGAGGAGCCGAGGCTCGAAGTTAGCGTACAGTCGCGCGACACCTTGTTAGCCAAAACTTATGTCGCTTGTCAACAGAAGTTAGCGATATCGGAGCGACCCTATTTTCAGCACAGGGTAGTGTCATGGTCTGAACTATCATTTAACGCTCAGTGCCCGATGCAGTATTTTTCTTGGGATGCCCTAACCTGAACCTGCCTGCCTATCCCTTTACATGGGCCAGGGTACGGTGCGCGGTACGGCGACCACCGGTAAAAAATTGGCAGCGTTTTCCGTATGGGTCACCGTCATTTTTTTAAACAGTGGGAGGCTAATTGACACCACGCATATTTTGTTTATCGTTACTGTACCGTTTGCGTGTGAGCGGGCGGGTTTGCATTAGAGAGCTGCAGTAAGCTCTGTAGCTCGGGCTCGGAGCCGTGAGCTGGCTGAGGCCCGCAAATGGGAGTTTGCATATCTTTATTCACCGCACTGTTAAAACGCTACAAACAAATTTGTTTGTAAGCTTGCAAAGCATTTGGCTGCTTTGCAATACAAAGTATTTTGTTTGTAAGACGAAGCATTTTTCAAATGCTTTGTAAGCTGCAAAGCAAATGCTTCGCAAGCTACAAAGAAAAAGGTTTGTATTACAAACAAAATTGTTTGTATTACGAAGCATCCAAATCCTTTGCAATTGCGAAGCATTTTGTTTGTATTGCAAAGCATTTTGTTTGTAAGGTTTTAACAGTGCGAGGCCCCGTGTGAATATGTAACCAGCCCGCAGACGTGCGTGCGGTACAGTACAACAACAAAAGTGCACAGAGTCTGTCAGCCACCCGGTATATTCAGTAAATCACAAGAGCTGGTGCCTGTTGTTATAGTGCACTACCAGTCCGGCCAATAAATGCCAGCTCAGCCCAAAGGAGCTCCCCGCTCTTGCACCTGTCCGCTCGGGCGCTGAGCCGCCGGGCGCGGCTGAGCCGCCGGGCCCTAAGGGGTGGGGGTAGCCCCCAGCCCAGGGTGGGGACGGCCGGACTGGAGGGCACCAAGGGATAGCTAGGAAAAGTCAGTCGTCTGAGAGCTACCGACGGGTGTGGAGGTGACTAACCATTGTTCTATTAGTAGTCAAATATACCAGTACTTAGCCGATCAACCTGACCACTCTTTAATGATCACTGACCCCAGAAAACCGGCCCTAAAACAAGCTGGTGCATCGGCCGGGGTGATCTAGTGGTTGAGTTGGTTACGTTTTGTGCTGAGTTTTTTTTAAAGTTTAAATTTTGTCTTTCCAAGACGCGCGGCGACTCGTTTCGGTTTAATTAACGTCGGTAAAGTGTTAGTAACGCACGCGGAGTGTAGTGCAGTGAAAGTACCTGTGATCAACAACCTAATCTACGTCCAGCTCCAGTGGAAAGAAGTGACGGTGTGCCAGCAAACGGTAGGACCATCAGCTCCACCCCTGTGATTTACCTTGCTGTCCTGTATCCTGTATCTGTAACCCAATCCGCAATGACATGCTAGAGTTAAAAATAGAGGAGTTCATAGCCAGAGATAACAGTAGGCCAGTGTTCGTCGTAATCAACGCGCAATCGTGGGACGCGTCACTAGACTCCCTTAGTATAGCAGAACAGCTTGTTAGGCAGATAGAAACCTACCCCCTAGAGCTAGTGCCTAGAGTAGACGATAGAGGCTTCGCGCGATACCAATATAACGACTTCATCTGCAGCACCCGTATCGTAGCAGACGCCACCCCTGCAGTGAGAGTACTAGCCAACAAGGAGGAAATTAGTGAATACAGGTATGAAAATTGCAAGATTTTAATCGAAACAAGGGAGAATGAAACACAAAATGAATTTTGTGTCAATTGTATAACTCGTTCTTTACTTTGGAGTCGGTTGTATCTTCATCTCAGAATATAGAATATTGTCAAACATAACACTTATTACCGTTTGGAACTGTATTTTTGAAGAAATGAAAAGAGACAACTACAAAAACGAAGAGGGTAGGGGGGGTAGGGGGCAGCCCCAACAATGGGGCCCGAGGCAGGGCCCGAACACAGCCCGAGGGTGGCTTGGCTGGCTCGGTGGCTTGAGGACTTAGACTGAAAACCCTCCAGTTTTTTGTTAAGAGTTCTCAAAATTATACTATTAAACTTGTAAAATAGTTCATTCTTCGGATAAATATTAGCACTTCTGAATCAGAATGGTGTAAGTGTCATATCTGTAGATGATGTATATTTTGAGATAAAAGTCAAACATTTTTAGTGGGGGTTAGGGACTTAGAATTGTAATCCGCGAAATTTGTTAAGTGTTCTCGAAAAAATACTATTAAACTCAAAAAATAGTTCATTCTTTGAATGATCACCAGCATTTCGGAATAAGAATGGTATAAGTTTCATATCTGTAGGTTTTCTGTGTTCTGAGATGAAAGTGGAATCATGTTAAAGCGTGACACCGCACCGAGACCAATACTCGTTCTTCCCCGCCATTATATGAGTGAGTGTGGCTGGTAAAGAACGAGTAAAAATATACGGTTACAATCGTCAGGAGAGGCATAACCTAGAAAAAGATATTGTAATTAAATCAGTATCAGCTATCCTTAACTTTATCGTAGCAGAAATCAGGAAGGCAGATAGGGAAGCAGCTGATAAGAGAAAGCAGAAGCAGGAGAACTTCAAACGCATCCAGTTAGAGTTATTAGAGAAGGCCCGCGTCTTTAGCGAGCTAGCAGAGAAGAAGCGCATTCAGCAGCAGATAGCGTTTAGAGAGGAGAAGAGGAGAGAACTAGAGGAGCTTAGGCAGCAGATAGAGGCGCTAGAAGTTAGACTTAGGCGAAGAGATATGGCGCGCCCGCAGCTTCCCCTCACCCTGCAGCCCCACTTGCCTGCCTTTGACGAATCAAATATGTCCACCTGGTTCGAGATAGCTAAAACCACATACGATCGGTATGAGTATGCAGCAGCAGACTTACCCATTTATATCCAGAACTACCTCCCTGCATATATGAGAGCAGCCCACCTAGAAAATAAAGATAGGCCCTGGGCGGAGTATGTCAGAGAGATGACCAACAGGTTCCAGACCAAGGTCACTTATGAGACAGTGCAGGAGGCACTTGCCACCATGAAAAGAAAGGATGGAGAGACGTGGCGTGCCTTCATAAACAGGTGCAGTAGCATAGCAGATAGGGCCAACCCACCCATCCCCCTTGCTAGTCTCATTGACTGGTTAGTTAAGCTCTTGCCAAAATCAGTGAAGTGGCAGATGCAAGGTAGAACCTTTGCAAATGTGAAGGACTTTATAGAGCTCACAGAGGAGATGATTAGATTCCAGCGAATCCATGACCCAGAGGGAGAGATATCAGGTGCGGGAAAACAGGTCTTGATAGTCGAAAGTGAGGGCGTCAAAGAACAGTCACTAGCAGACGAGGCAAAGGCAGAAAAAGCAGCCTTAAAGAGAGAGATAGAGCTCCTACAGCAGGTCAGGAAAGTAGAAGAAGAGAAGGCAGAACTTACATGCCTCCTCAATAAGGCCCAATCAGGACTAGAAGCTCGCAGAGATAATGGTAATAATAACAGAGGGCGCGGTAACTGGAGAAACTACAATGGGAATAGGCAGTACCAAGGGAATAGGCATTATCAGGGTTTCAATTATCAGGGCTTCAACTATCAGGGCTACCCCAACCCTAACTTCCAGCCGCCCCCCAACTTTATTAATGCACAGGCATACCAAAATAATATGGGCTACCAGCCGCAGCAAGGCTACAGCTCTGGTCAGGGCTACCAGCCCAACATGGGTTACCAGAATAATGGGAACTTCCAAAATAACCAAGGCCTTAAGTACCCCCAGTATGAAGAGAACTCGCGCTACAATGCTCAAACTCAAGCATACGTTAGCCAGCGTGGCAATGGGGGCAACTTCAGGGGACGCGGTAGAAATGATGGTGCAAGCAAAAAGATTACTTGCAATATCTGTGGCAAATATGGCCACGCTGCATTTGAATGCCGAAGCCAGTCGAATTTTCGACAATAAATCAGAAGGAATGTTATCGGATCGCTGTGGAGAATAATTTGTTTAGAGATAGGATTATTAATGATAAGAACTTTCAGCTAATTATGGTGCCAAGGGATGGCAACTGTTTCTATAGCTGTCTGAGTGAAGTGTTTTATGGTAATATTAAGGCTAATATACTACTTAGAAAATTAGTGGCCAAGTACGTTAAGGTGAATTATGAGCATTATAAAGGTAGAGTAGCAGTAGAGGAAAGTGAGAACTACTTTGAGCAACATGCCTGGACAGAAGAGATGGCAGGAAAAGCAGAAATCCAGGCTGCAGCAGATTACTTTAAAGTAGCAATTAGGATTAAGCATGGGGAGCAAATAGATAAGTACCGTCCAGAGGGTAACCCAAACCTGTACGTGGCCTTATGCCAACGAGATGCCACTGGGCACCTCGACCCCCTACTCCCAGTAGAGATATTCAATGCTAGGTATGACGAGAAACTCAAGTTAGCCAACGTAGAGAGGGAGGCTCGGCAAGCCGCTGTACCGAGTGGCGGTAATGACCTCCACGTGGGCCCGGTCAACGCTCCTGAGGTGAAAGAACAGAGCAGATCGAAGGCAGACAATCCCACGGTGAGTCTCCAGACGCGATCAGGCACGGACACCGTCGCGACGATCGGAAATCCGAAGCCGCGATCGAGTGCAGAAATCAACGTCCGTTATGGACACCCAGACGGTAGTCTCCTGGGAACAGAACATAAGGTCATTAGTCATGGAAAATCTGCCGAGGAAACGGTAGAGACAGGAGGTAGAGAGGGAGCTAGACAGACAGGAAGGGAGAGACACGACACCGGTCAAAACACTGGTGAGCGGTCTCTGGCACGTCTGGAAATGACCAGACCTACCAACGTCAGGTGCGACGATCAGCAATATGACACCCAGACAGCCGGGATCGAATGTCGGCGCGACGAAAATGGAGAACCCAGACCGATGCGTCCGGTGGCCCGAGCAGATCCGCGAGGTAGGGGTGAGTCAGACCACGACTCAGGTGACGACTCCGCACTAGGATCAATGCGCTCCGGAAATGCACCTCCAAATGCGACCCAACACCGACCGGGGGAGATAGTGCCCCCAGGTGGTGACGCGTTCGTATGCTCATGTTGCTACGACAACGAGGACCTGGAGGAGTTAAAGAGTATTAGTTGGGAGAAGCCAATAAGAATTGCAGAGAAAGGTAATTGCTTCCCCATAGATGTTATGGTTAATGGTAGAAGGATGATAGGGCAGATAGATGTTGGTGCTGAGTGCTCACTGATAAGAGAGATGGACTGGATAAAGGAAGAAAATGTTGAGGCAATTAGAGCAGTAGTAGAAAAGGAAGGGAAAGTAGAGCCAGTACTAGGCATTTTCAATATAGAACTAAAGTTATCATCCACCATCGTGTCGTCACTCCCTGTGCTGGTAGCTAATCTACCAGAGGGCGTTGAACTCGTGTTGGGAAGAAACTTCCTGCGCAAGTTCAAGGCCCGGTACCTCCCTAGACTAGAGGCTTATGTAGCAAGGCGAGGCAAAGAATATGTAGTCAAAACAAAGGCAAAAACAGATTGGGAAGAATGGGAGGTCCTGACAGTGTCAGAGGACTTCAACAGATTATTTAAGGTTATGGTTGAAGTAGATGGTCACCCACTGGAAACAGTGCTTGACCTGGGAGCAGTACGGTCGATTATTAACAGTAAATATTGCACTAATAAGTCAAAATTACAGCCAGTTAAGATAAAGTTGAGGACAGCTAATGATAGCTTCCTCCCCGTACATGGCATCTATAAGGCAGCATTAAGAATAAATAACTTCATAGTGCATCACCACATCATCTCAGCTGATCTACCAGCTGACGTGTGTATGCTGTTAGGAAACGATTTCTTAGCCAAGTACCAAGCAGAGATTTCATGGAAAACAGAGACTCTCACCCTTAATATAGGATCTATTGAAATAACAGCAGAAAGGATGAAAAGTACGGATGAGAAGGGAAGTGGAGGAACAGTAGGTGTTAACTCTGTGGACAGTCCCAAAGAGAGGGACGTGATAGAGTTATATAGCACCAGGACAGTCAGCATCGACCCAGGAGTATACCAGATGATAGACGTCAAGGTAAGCAACGAGATATTACCAGCAATCATTTCTCCTTGTGTTGTCAACGAGAACCTTGAAGTGTCGACAGTCGAGTGTCTAATGCGGGAATGTTCCGCTATCCCAGTATTTAATTGTAGTGAGATCACCATTAGGATCCCCAAAGGCACCAAAGTAGGGTGCATTAAACCTGAAAATCAAAAATTAGAAAGTTCAAATTTAACTTCAGCCACCCTAGCAGAGATAGCATATGCCGTTAAAAATAACTTCCTAGTCCTAGAAGGGATGGAAAATGACTCACCTTGTCTTGATTGCCTTATGGCAGATGAATCAAAAGAGGATTCCATACCCTCCCTTGACGGAGCAGATATTACCGAGGAACAGAAGGAAGAGGTTAGGGTTGTATGCAGGAAATATCAGAGTGTTTTCTCCGCTCATATGCGACCCAACGCTCCAATCCCCAACTTCCTCGGCCACCTAGAAAGAACAAATCAGGGAACGATCTACAGAAGGCAGTGGCCATTATCAGCAAAGCAAAAAGATATCGCTAGAAAAGAGATAGAAAAGTTTTTAGAGGTAGGAGTCCTAGAAGAGGAGGAGTCCATCGTTAAGTTGCCACTGTTCGTTGTGGAGAAACGAGGCTCCACCGCTGATAACCCGACAGGTCGGTTATTGTTTGATTGTCGTGCTCTCAATAAAGTACTAGTTAAACCCCAACTGAGAAGCTTCACAGTAGCTGACATCCTGTCATACTGTTCAGACAAGAGTTTATTATGTACTCTTGATATCAACCACTTCTTTTTCAATATTGCTCTAACTGAAGAAAGTAAACAACTGTTAGGATTTACCTTTGAGAATCGCTCACTTAGATGGGCTCGAGCACCACAAGGCTGCTCACTTAGTCCTCAGCTGTCAATAACAGCGCTCAATAAAATCATGTCTAACCTCAAAATAGCCTATTATGTAGATGATATCATTCTTGGAGGCAAAGACTTCCAATCACTGCTAGCACTGTTAGAAGAAGTACTCAACAGGCTCGACAAGTCAAACCTCTGCATACACCCCAAAAAGGCCACCCTATTTAGAAAGGAACTAGGTATTATAGGACTAAAAGTTAGGGCCGGGGAATATGTAATGCCTAACCCAGATAGGTTTAAACCGCTGTTAGCATTAAAAGACCCCAAAAATGCTACACAACTCAAATCAGTACTTTGTTTCTTCTCCTACTATAGGAGATGGATTAAATCATTTGCAGTACGCACCCAGAGATACCAAGAGATGTGTAATGAAAAGATACCCTTTGAATGGAAAGAAGAAGATAGGAAGGAAATAGAGGAGATGTATAATTACCTCCTTAGCAATGCAACTCTTGCATTATTCCATGAGGATAGACCAACAAAATTACATTGTGATGCTTCGAATCATTCCCTCGGAGCATTCCTTGCCCAACGCAATGGTAACTTATACAAGCCCATTGCCTACTTTAGTGCACCCATTAAAGGAACTAAATTAGCATGGTCAGCGTACCATAAGGAGTGTTTAGCACTCTATGAGTCTGTAAAATATTTCGAAAATGAACTCAGATTATTAAAGAAATTCACTGTGGTGACTGACTGTTCAAGTCTCAGACACCTACTCACCATGGAAGCACCAAAGAGTCCATTTGATAAATTCATCAGCTTTCTGTCAAATTTTGAGTTTGACTTTGAAGTAGTTAGATCAGAAGCAAATAAAGTTCCAGACAGTCTATCTCGACTGACCCCACCAACGGAGTCTAAAGAGAGTGTTCAAATTCCAGAATCGCTGATAACACCACTTAGGGAGAACGGCGAGAAACCTGTAAAAGAAATAGAGCTGAAACTCAAAAATGCGGAGAAAGAAATTGTTGTACGCACCAGGAAATTACCAGTGTATTGCCTACCTGATGGAAGAGAGGTAGTAGACGTTGATTATGTAGAGGTCAGTAATAAGCCAATTGTGTCCTTCAGAGGGGAATATGCATTCCTCTCAAACTTCTACCCAGTGACGATTTCCTATGAATCCATTGAATATCCTTCAGTCGAACATGCATTTCAGGCATCAAAAACCCATGAAAAAGTAATGAAAATTCTCATTAGTAACACATCAAACCCTAGAAGAGCAAAAAATATTGGAAAATCAATTACGATTAGGTCTGATTGGGAAGCAACTAAAGATAGGGTTATGTTGGAGTTGTTGCTTTTAAAATTCAAGAAAGGCTCCGAACTCGAGTCTAAGCTACTCGAGACTGGAGAGAGGGAAATTATTGAGTATAATCATTGGTGTGACATGTACTGGGGTACGTGTTACTGTAATATACACCAGGAATATACTGGGGAAAATGTGCTAGGAAAATTACTAGGTATGATTAGGGACTTCAAAAGGAACTGTTACAATATGGAACCAACTAACGATGATAAAGAGAATATAATACTTGCAGTAACGACAAGGTCGCGTAGAAACGCCCCGGAGAGAGACGAAAGAGAAAATAATCAACAAGTAGAAGATGAGAGAGAGAGAGAGCTTCTTAGAGTTATTTGGCCTCTTATCGAGAAGTCGGCCAGGAGTATCGAGAGAGTCCGAGAGGCCGTGAAACCGGCGGCGCGGAAATTGAAGTGGAAAAACGGTGGCGGGAGATGGGGGGTGCCGCGGCCGCGCCCGCGGCGGATCCGAGGCAGGGGCGTTCGGGCTAGCCCGCGCCCCGCCGTCGCCTAGGACCGGCGAGGATCCGGAGGCTTCGTCTTACGCCCCCGCCGAGAGGGCGAAGGCGAGGAGGCAGCCTGCGAGAGGCCACCTATGGCAGCGAGCAGAGAGAGGAGCGGCCCAATGAGATGTTGAATGCTGCTGCCAGACAAGCCGGTGCCGAGGCCGCGCTTCAGCGAAGTACCGCCCCGTGGCGGAGGTGGGGCCTGGGGCGAGGCCCGTGGGGTGGCCGTGCACCGCCGTGAAGATGCCCGGTGATCTCGCGCGCCGCAATTGGCGCACAAGGGTTGTTGGAGGCGCTGGTCACAGTCTTTGCTGCGGTGTGCCCCTGCACACATCCTGCAGACGGCCGAGGCCACACAGGAATCGGACTTATGCCCCCACCGTTGACATTGGAAACACTGGGGCGGAACGTCAGGTCGCCGTCGGCGGGAATGCTGACGACGAGTGCCCGGCGGCTGGTCGCCGGGACGGCGGGAGGCTGCGTCCGGAGTAGTGACAGGGGCTGCGTCCGTCTGGGTGGCGTGTGACGCCTGGGTGCGGTAGCAGCGAGCGACCGGCGAGAAGGGGGGGCGTGGCGGCGTGCGGTCACCCGGGACCACGTCGTCGAGGTCCACCTGGACCGGGATGCGGTACTCGGGCTGGCCCCGTACGGCAGGGACGAGGCACAGGCCCTGGGCAGCCAGGTCGTCCGCCATCTGCGGCGACATGAGGACCCGGCTGGAGTGTTCGTCGGGGAGCTGGACGATCTGGACGCCGGGCAGCGCACCGAGTTGACTCTTGAGGAAATGTGCAGAGAAGTGCAGCACCAAGGAAGGGGCGCGCACTTTGTACCACCGAAACACAGGTTCGGCGGGCACATGTCGGGGGGGCAGCGGATCATAGTTGCTGGAAAAGTCACTGTGTCCGAGCCCCTGCGGCTGCGTCGCCGTGACGAAAGCCGCAATGAAAGCCGATGTGACCCGGTCGCACAGGGACAGGGAACACACAGCGGTCAAGCAGATCTGGGGGTAGTCGGCATCGGTGACGACGTCGCACCTGAGCGCGTCCCGGCCGGTGAGTCCACCACGGAGCGAGTGCCGGAGCTGGTCGGCGCACTTCGCGATGTCAACAGCGTCCAAGGGGCTGGTGGGCCAGACCTGCAGAAACACAAGTGGACTGGCAGAGTCCAGAGGCTTGGGCTTCTTAGTTGTCGAGGTAGACCGGTCCCCTGACTCGTTGCGGCGCCGGCGCGCCGTGTGGGACACTCGATCGGGCATCGCGACACGAGAGCAGCTGTGCGCACGTCCGTACGGCTCGGCGGTCCAGAGCCAAGTCACAAGTAGAAGATAATAATATCGATCAGGGAAATAGTGAAGTGGAAACTCCACTCCCCAATGGCGGACGGTCTGTGGCAGAGGCCTCCGACACGGGGGAGGACAGGAGTAAGGATGAGAAATTCGATGAGAAGCCGTTGGCAGAGGGGAGACCGAGTGCAGCGGATGAGAATCTTACCGAGCGGGAACTAGGAGAGGAAAAGAAAACAGAAGGAGACGAGATCAAGAGTTGGAATAGTGTCGATTTAAATAATGACTCAGTGATTAAATCATTCACTGACAACTATTATTTTCTATCTAATTACGCTCCCTCTAAGTTTAAGTTAGGCGGAGAAGAGTTTCAATCAGTGGAAGACGCATTAAATACAAAGGGATTTCGCTTCACTGAGCTAACCTATGTCACAAAGCAGAACGAAGATGTTTCTGCTTTGGATAAACTTAGAGAAAAACTAAAAGCAGTAACGAGGAAATCAGCTATGGAATTCCTAGTGAAGTGTTTGAATGCCAAGTTCAAAGATAACGTGAATTTACAGGAGAAACTCCTCGGAACAGAAGGAAAACTCCTAGTATATTGCAATAATTATTGCGATAACTTCTTAGGATTATGTAGATGTACTAAGTGTAGTGTAGGTACAAGGCCACTTAATTTTCTAGGTGTAGAATTAATGAAGATTAGGTATAAACTGATCAAAGAGAGAGACTTGAGGAAGAAAGCGGAATGTTCGGAGAGCATTCCAGTAATTAAGAAACTGATAGAATATCAGAGGTGTGACCCCGACTTAATGAAAATAATTGAAACTTTCAATAGAGAGGGGAAACCTACCAAGGGGACGGAGAAGATAAAAGGGAGACCAAAATATGCCATCAAGAGAGGATTACTGGTAACAAACACTAAAATACCAAGGACAGTTATCCCAGCAGTACTGTTACCAACAGTACTTAAATCATTCCACTCCCTGGTAGGGCATTCGGGACGAGATGTTCTGTCATTAGCAATTAAAAAGTTCTATTACCATAAAAACTTAGACGATAAGATTAGAGAATTTGTAAACTCCTGTACACTATGTCAGGAGTACAAACCATCCAAAGAGAGGTATGGTTTGCTACGCCGTAGAGTAACTAACGAAATTTTCCACAGCTTAACTTCTGATTTTTGTCATATTTCTAGTAAGGCTTTGTTCAAATATTGCCTATTAATTACTGATAATTTTTCTAACCTTACTTACTTGTATCCATGTGCCAATGCAGACCAGAAATGCCTTCAGGAAGGACTCAATGACTTCTTCAGTAGGTTTGGACGAGCAAGATACCTGTCCATAGACGCAGGTCCCCAATCAAAGTCCAAAGAATTTCTAGAGTATGCTAAAAAGGAAGGATTCCAGATAGTTACAGCTGCATCTGGGGCACACCTTAGTATAGGTAGAGTAGAGTCCCACGTTAAAAAGCTAGTTTCAGTGTTGAGGTTCCTGGTAGATAATAAGACAACTAGATTAGCAAGGTGGCATGAACTGATTCAAGTAATACAGTTCTACCTGAATAATTGCCCACAAATAGCAACTAATGGACTATCCCCAAATGAAATAGTCTATGGTAGAACACTAGACACACCACTCACCATCAAAACAACGCTGCCAATGAAGAATACAATTCACTCAAGACTAAAATTGTTGGAGGAAGTAAGGAAGAAAATTAAAGAAGCCAGAGATAAAGCATTCCAAAGATACTCCAAATATTATAATAAGAACAGGAAAAATGTAGTGTTCAAGAAAAATGAGAAAGTGTTTGTGAAATTTGAAAAGAAAGCAAGTACGGCAAACCCAAGCAAATTTCAGAAATTTTACAGGGAAGCAACTATTAAGAAAAGAATCTCAAAACTCATCTATCTTGTGACACTTCGTCATAAAAACGGAGTGTTATGGAGGAGGCAATGCCATGTTTCACACCTCAAAAAGGCTCATGCAAGGCCAGATTATTTAAAGGAAGAAAATGCAATCGTGCTGTTCGTTTGTAGGGATGGATTTCAGATTCCATCGCCACCAATTGAAACGTAAATAAAGACTAACTATTGTAATGACCCAAATATTGCCATCAAAATGCATTAAAAAATCTAAGGTAGTATGATATACTGGTATAGACTTCACAACTGTAGGTTAAGAGAGGAAAAAGACTGAGGTACCGATTAGTTAAGCATTAGAGTAAGTTGAGGGTGAGTTGTGAAGTAGAGACCACTATTCATGGAATAAAATATTACAAAGAAATGAAGAATAAATATAATTTGATAAAGTGAATAATCCAAATGAATCACACATCATAGCCGCGAGAGGCATGATGCAGAAGTCAGGTTTTACTTTGTAGAATCTTTTGTGCGCACAACGGGTAGACCTAGTAATTTAGATCTAGCTTCACTAGACTTTATTCAGAGAGGGACTACTTGGGCTTCTATGAGTTCAACAAATACTTGCAAAATAATATAGGAAAAATAAATATAGAGAGTTTGAAAAGTCCTTAGACTTGCGATACTTTGAAAAACAAAACAGGTTAGGAAACCTGAGAGTAGAAAGAGAATTAATAAATAATCGACTTCCGATAATACCGCATCACGATGGCAATAATTTTAAGGATGAAAATAGAAAACGAATCGAAAAATTATAAATTGTATGCTCGAATAAATCACCAATATAGGAGATGAACGGCGATAAAGATTGGATTGCAAAGACTCAGTTAGATATGAAATGGCTAGCAGCGCGGCGTCCAGCCTCTGCCTCTCGGCAGATCATGGCGTCAGCCGCGTGACCTTGAACGGCCCCACCGCAAGTGCATATTGCGCGGCACGGTCAAATTACTCAAAGAATTTTCAGCAACTCTATTAGTTAGTGAAAAATGGAATAGATGAAGAAAAGCAACTAGGAAAGAAACTAGTACGAAAAAGAATGCAAGCAACCCTTACTCATCAGCAAACCAAATGTAGAAATTCTTCAAGTTTTTCACCTTTCAGTACTTCATCGATGTAGGGTGGAACTCCAATGGAGCAATCTACGCTACCCATCACCCATCATCCGTCACCCATCACCTGCGATTTCATGTATTTACGCGGACAACTCGGGTTGTGGTTAAGACTCAGGATGTGTGTGAACAATAAATATGACTATACACCTTATGATTGTATTTCGCGATGTAAAAACTCAAAATCACAAGTGATGGGTGACAGATGATGGGTGATGGGTAGCGTGGATTGCTCCATTGGAGATCCACCTGTAGATAATTTCTTGGGTCCCAGTCATAACGGTTACGTCAAGTCTAGAAATTACGAACGCAGCACGCTAATCCAGGACCCCTCCCCAGAGGAGAGAGGCCGGTACACCGGAGCAAAGTCCGTAAAAACTCCTGTGATGAGGTCAAAAATCAACACAAGAATTCTTACCGACCGACAGCAAATCCCCAACCCAGGATCTGGCTGCTTGTATCAGAAACGCTGCCGCCACGAGTGGGACAGCCTAGATGGCGCAAGCGGCCAGATAATGAGCAAGGACCGGTGTACCGGAGTAGAGAAAGAAATGAGTTCCGCACGAGGTCGAGTGATGGCTGGTAGCGGACCTGGACTCCAACCAAGCAGGGGAGCCCAGAGAAGGGAAAAAATATTTAACCCGCTACGTCAAGCTGACGCTTCTGCAATGACGAGAGAAAGAAGATAGCAATAATAGAGTTAACCAGGCGAGATAGGAAAAGAAAGGTAATAGCCATGAGGCAAAAGAAAAAGAAAATGGACGATATGCTTACGGGTGACCAGCCACGACCCGAACCCGCACGGAACTGATGCTGCAAAGCATGACCCACGCAGCGGTACCTCAACGTCCGCGCAAATATTGTGTTAACGTCAGCATTTCCCGACCGCTTTGCAGAGGCACGGCGTAATGCGCATCCACAAAAAGTAATCCCTTCAGAACCTAATGATCTTGCAGTGTAAATGTACTATCTTGGAATTATAAAACTATGTGTGTCAGATATCTAGTAAGTTCTAGTATAGTGAACGTGACGCGCCCCGCTTCCTTTAAAAGCCCGGCGCGAAAGTCACGGCATAATAGATATAGCGCCATACACGGCGGAGTAGATTGGCGAAAGTCACGGCCAGTGTGAGTAGCGTGAGCCGTGCAAATAACGAATGCATTATTCCGCTCATACTGAAAATAACGTGCAACTAGGGCACCTCCACTTACGAGTAGTGAAATGATTAGAATAATTAGTTATTATAATTGCTTTGAAATGGTTGACAGTAGAAAGGGAACTAGTGTAGGAAGAGCATTAGTTATAATTGAGCGATGAGTAGCGGTCAAGAGCAAAAGAATCAGTTGGCCATATAGGTAAAGAGAAATAGAAACGGAAATTGTACTGATATTTATTACTAGAGACGATATTGTAAATCCATTGAAGAAAAAATAATAACTAGAAAATATACCCCTAGTCCAAACTAAAATATAGCCAAAAACTATACCTCAAAAAGAAAACTACAATATAAGGAGAATTACTAATGCCGATGAGCCATAAACTCCTCCCCCGTTAGAAATGGGGCACGACACTCATAACACACGTGGAGAGCGTTGATAAGCACCAGATTGGTATGAGCGCACACCCCCCGGTGTCTCAGAAAAGATTTGGCATAAGAATACCCCTTATTACAATAAGAACACCGGTATCTACGAGGGCGAGACCCACTAAGCAGTGCAGCTAGTGCCTCACTCTTGAAAAAATGCTCACCGACATGAGCATGAAAAGCGCTGAGGGATAAAAACTCAGCGCCACAATATTCATAAGACCTAAATACCAAATCATCACACACCAAGGCCTTGTGTACCTGGTGAAAGTGGTACACAAGAGCAAAGACTGAGGATGTTGAAAAGGGACACCCATCTAATTTGCACTCCCTAATAGGATGGCTTAGGGTAGAATGCTGACGGAAATGCCCCCTCAGCATATCCTCAGTAGAACAGGTGTACGAACAATACAGGCACCTCAAATAATCATATTGCGATGGTTGTTCAACGACAGGAGTGCCTAAATAAAAGAATTGTAAAAGTTAGAAAGATTAAACCTTTAAAGTAAAGCAGAGCTAAGTGAAATTTACCTACATGTACCCAGGTGCTCAACCTCAGAATCACTAGATGTTGAGGATTCCATAGAGGAATCCATAGCCTCAGCATCCTCTGGAAAATAAATGTATTATAAGGATCAAAAAAAAAAAAAAAAAAAAAAAAAAAAAAAAAAAAAAAAAAAAAAAAGGGAAAATAGGAATAAATAGTAGATACCAGTTGAGTCGTCATCTGACGCGTTCCACTCGTCCAAAGTGATGTAGCCATCGCTTTCGTCAGTAGCATCTAGTTCATCAATTAGCTTGAATTCCTCCATTTCAATGTCCAAGCAATGATCATCCCCATGCAGGCTGGCCGTTGACTCCGAATGAGTAGGTGTGTGAGGGCGCCAGAGCACAGGAGAGCCCAGCTCCCTCTTAATCACTGGACCGGATTGGCACTCAAACTCCATTACAGAGCAGCAAGATAGAGCAATAGAACTGAGAGAAAATGAGAGAGTTGGAAATCAATAATCACCATAGGTAGCAGATCAAAATCCATAGAAAACCACTTAAGACCATCAGAATAAAACTCACCACGAAAGAAACGACCGAACGCACACACGAGAGGGACGCTAATGGGTCGGCGACCCAGCATCCCCAAGAGGAGCCGACAGAAATTGCTGAGTCGGTGAAAGTTGAGATCCAAACGAGACCGTTTGATCGCGCCCTTCCAATCGGGCATCCAACGTAAAAGACTAAATTATAGATAGATGCGTAATATCCGCGATTTATGTTAAACCCCTATTAAATGATCCGACTAGAATTTTAATACCTCACTAAATAGCATTAGAATGGATTACCGTGTGCAAGAGCACTAATAGACTCGAGAAAAGAGAATGAAATGAGTACCAAAATAAGTATTAGAAAGTGTAGGTTGGCAATACCTCCGGCCACTAGGTCCGTGAGAGACGACCAACTAAAAGGCGGTGGTAACCAAGGAAACCAGGAGGAAATAAAGATAACCTAGCTGTCATGTCTCCCGTCAGACCTCCTCTTATGTTTCAATAAATTTCCCTATAGCTACCTCATGTTGATTCCTTCTCTACCTCAAAACTAAATAAAGAAACTGTAAATTCTATCTAACCTGCTGACCTATATTCTTGTTTCAATTTCACACTTCGAAATGGAGTTGATGTGTTCCTGCTTGTTTTTGCATACTTAACCATTTCTTTTCATTTTCAGGAGAAAGACTGCACCCAAACCTAAAAATGCAGATCATCAATGTTCAAGGCGATATACTTAATTGCCCAGACTATATGTCAATCGCGCATTGTGTTAGTGTAGACGGACGGATGGGCGCTGGACTTGCCAGAACCCTACAAAATGTCTATAATCTTCGGAATCAATTTTTGGAAGCGCCACGGGGCGTCGGGTATGCAGTCGCCCTACGTAGGGGCTCTAAATTCATCGTCCAGCTAGTCACAAAGGAACGGTATTTTCACCTGCCCACTATCTACGACTTTGAGGAGAGTATCGTTAACCTCCGTAGATTCATTGAATTTAACAATATTAAAGAAATTGCAGTCCCGCAACTAGGCTCTGGCCTAGATAAATTGAACCCGAACGATGTCGTCGAGGTCTTGGAGAGAGTGCTGTATGACATGCCCTTGACAGTCTACATGCACTTCCTTTAATTGTTTTAAATTTATTGTCATACTCCACCCGGTAGTCAGCGACTTAATATTAAGCCTCTATATTTTATTTTTACAGGATGGGCGTGCAAACCGGAGCTCTGTACCCCCAAGGGGAAACTATCAGTAAATTATGGGTTATAGCCCTCAGTATTGTCTCACTCCAACAGGTGGTCGCTTTCAAATCACCTGTTGTAGTTACTGAGACAAAAGGAGTCCAAATTAATCTTGCAGAATCTAGGGTTGCAATGGGGACCCTCCAACTGGATTTTAAAGTTAACCTACCCTCAGTTCACTTTGAGATGAATATCACAGATGAAGTTTGTACGCCCAGCCTAACTCAAAAAATGTATAAGTCATGCAAAATCCTAGTCGACATAGATCGTATGTCACACAAAATTCTGTTAGAACTTCAAAATGTTTTCCAATCGACCGAAAATCTGGCGTCGCTTAAGAATAAGAGAACCAAACGAGGACTGATACCAATCTTGGGAAGGATCCTCGGTTGGCTAACAGGTTTGGCCACTGAATCAAATTTAAATACTGTTGTTAATAAAGTTAATACGCTGGCTGAGGGGGCGCAGGCATTAGCCGCGTCACATAACAACCTAGTCCAGAGCACAGCAGCAAATTTTGAAAAATTAAGGGACCATCAGGAAAAACTAGAAGGCAATATGCGAGACTTTGCGGGTAAATTTAACGAAATTGTAGACATCATAGGTCAGAAAATAATGCCCGACATGGATGTAATGGCGTTAAAAACAGCCGGTACCGCTACTATTATGAATAAAATCAATATTCTCCAAACTCACCTGCTCGCTCTGAAATCCATTTACGACAAATGTAAAAGCAAAATGCTCCCAAAACTTGTGGTTCCCGAAACACGTCTAAAAGAGGCACTCCTGAAAAATAGCGGACGTCTTGACGAATACGCGTTAGAATTACTTTTCGGACTAGAATCCATTGACTTGTATTATGAAATGGAAACAGCGTCTTGTAAATTAATAACTAATGAAACTTTAGGAATTACCCTACATGTACCTCTGAGAGACGCCAGATCGAGCTTTCATGTCATTGAAATCAAACCAATTAAGTTTTTATTAGATGGAAAAACCTGCCAAATTATGGAAAAAACTGTCAGAGTAGCTACTGATGGCGTAGTAGTGAAGGAACTCTCTAGTACTAAACCTAACGATCTCGATGTATACTTACTCCCTAGACATAATTCAGGTACTGAATTATCCAATTGTATTCATAGACTGCTCACTCATTCGGATGTCGAAAATATCGCGGACTCTTGTGACCTGCATTGCATTGATACCACCGAATCGACTGTCCAGATATTAGCATTAAATAAGTACTCTATCCTGAATCCGGGATCACCACTTTCTGTAATTTGTGGTAATAAATTAGTAGAAACTATTGAAATTAATACCAATGGGAGAGTCGAAATCGACCTACCCTGCCCTTGCTCGGTGCAAGAAAACACCGGATCCAGGAAGGTACTAATAGAAGCAATTCGCACATGTAATATCAACCTTAAGACTACCAATAGCACTGTTAAAATAACCATGGATTGGGCTTCGGAAAAATTCGAACCTGTAAGACTATTCACTACAGATATAGATATTGAGCATATGAAAATGCAAAATATGACCCTACCAAAAATTTCACTTACTAAAATAGAAAAGCTAAAAAGTAGTCTAGAGACTTGGAAAAATATCCCTACGTTCGGTAGCGGATGGTTTGAAATTTTCCTGTGGATTCTCATAATCAGTGTCCTGTTAATCATAGCATATTTTTACCTAAGGTCTCAATTTACCTGGTTCGCCATTGAAAGTTGCTGGAGGAAAGCAGAACTTAGCTCCCCGGTGACCATAACGGCGTCACCTAGCTTCACGCCCAGGCGACGCCCTACTACTAAGCCTAGGCGCATGCCTCGGGCAGGTACTCATGAAAGTACAGTAATATAAAAAGAAAAAATAATGTGTCTAATGCTCTCCTTTCTCTTAATATTTGTTTTAGCGTAGGGACCGCTGGGTGGCGCTCCATTGGTGACCAGCTTCCGTATGACCCAACTCCAGATCGGAAGGAATTGATGTCACCTGACCTTCTGAGCAAGTAACGACGAGGGCGTCGCTATGAGTTGCTACGTGGACATGTCCCCCTATGTCTATGTCCATACTGGTGGACCATGCTTATGTTAGGGCAATTTATTATCAATTTAAATCCTAATTGATAAAAGAAGAAAATGAGCACCAACTCTATGTGCCAATACTTAAAATTAAAAGAAGATAAGATAAA